CTTTACAATCCACTCCCCATAACATCCCTACCACCATCCTCCTCTCTTTTGCACTTTGGCACATATGGCATATACGAAATAAAAACACACTAGAACGCAAATCTATGCCCATTAATATTCCTCTGCTCATAAGTACGACAGCTGAGTACTATTTTCTAACACAAAACAACCGCACAAAACATCTACCCACTCCCTTCTACATCAAATGGCATCCTCCCCTACCAAATCACTACAAACTAAACATAGATGGAGCGGCCTCATCCAATCAAAACAGTTATGGAATAGGTGGGGTTTTTCTCAACACACAGGGCCACTGGGTCATGGGCTTTGCAGGTAAATCATATCCAACCACCAGTATCCATATAGAACTCCTTGCGCTATTCATGGGACTGAAGCTTGCTGTGCGCCACCAACTGACACCGATCACCATTGAAACAGACGCACACGACATCATTGGTATGTTAATTACGTCTACTATGCACTACACTAACATTCTTAATGACTGCAGGTTGTTGCTTCAACAACTGGGTAGGCCTTCTATCCAACATGTCTACATGGAGCAAAATAGTATTGCAGATAGTCTAACCAAATATGGAGCCACGCATGCAGATGGCCACAATTGTCTATATTTTGCAACCCCACCACTTTTGTTAGGACTCTCTATCACGATGATCTAGCAGGAACAATGCACCGGAGGCTCGTTACCAAAAACAACCAAATTTTCCCCAGCTCCCTCACACAAATGACCTCTGCTCTATCTGGTTTTTGTAATACCGATGTTTTGTTTAGTAATGCACCCATGCAGGGGCGCTTGTAGTAGCTTCTAATATTACTAGTTTAGCTCCTTCGATGCCTATGATGCATCTTGCTCCCTGTACTGATGTAATCCTTTAATTTCTATTAATATAAGTCTTTCTTTCTGACCAAAAAAAAAAAAAAAAAACTTTAACCACTAGTATTACATCGCCTTGGAAAAAGATTATTTTAAGTTTAGTCCAAACTTAAGAGACTATTTCTCAATGACTTTTGAGTCGGTAGCTATTTTTCTATTACAAGTCCAGAAAATGGATATTTTTGAAATTAGCCACTAATATTCCACCGTCTTGGGTAAATATCATTTTAAGTTACAATTCAAATTTAAAGGACAATTTTAATGACTTTTGAGTCTGTGGCTATTTTTCTAGGGCTCTTTACATAACTAAGCAATATTAAAAAACATAATATTTCTTGGTAGCAGCAAACTTAATATATCAACAATAGCAACAAAAATATTTCTTCTATAGCATATTTTAACGAAAACCGAAGCCCCAACAATATGCCTAACATCTCGCACCTTTGTAACGTAAGGATTTGTTCCTTATTTAACTCATAAACTTCCTTAATCCTCTAACACTACCGATTTCAATCCTTTTTTGCTTTTTGGATAATACATATATTATTTAACATGTATTTTGACTTATTTTATATTATTTGATTTTTGATTCTTTCATGTTTGTATAATTAAATCTTACTGATATAAAAAAAAGTATTTTAATTGACATTGAAAATATTTTACAAATATATTAAATATATATAGTGTATATTTAGAGTAATTAAGTTTTGTACTGTAAATATTCTACAAATATACTAGTGTATGCATAGGTTTTTTCTTGAATATTTATGGTATATTTCTAGTAGAAAATATTTTATATCTTATACATACCATGAACATCCCATAAAAAAATTCCAGCTAATCACATTATTAATATACAAAATATAAACAAAAGATGTATGCATATTTTAGTTGAAAATATATAAGATATACTTGTCGTATATACATTATGACAATTTAAATTTATTTTATATAAAATATATATATATATATATATATATATATAAATAAGTAGAAATATTTTAATTTATTTTTTTATATGCAAGAATGGAGATAGAAGGTAGCAACAATAAAGGAAGAGGGGG